AAGTAAACTTAAGTACTTCTAAGTAACAGTGTTACAACTCTATTCCTAGTTTTTGCATAGTTCCATGTAGGAGAGGAATCTTCCTCTCGTAAGCCGTCGCTCTCCCCTCCCCCCTCCCTTTTTCGTGCCAGGAGTCCGTCCTGGATCCGCCTATGTTCACACAAATATATTTAAATATTAATACATGTACAATAAATCCGACTGCTACAAATATAACAAATTTGGCAGCCATTTTTCTCGGCGATTAAAATTCACACTGAAATGTATATCTTGCAGGCAACATGCCCACCCTGTCTGATGAAATGAATGCTTGCAAGGAGCTGGAAAATTTCTTTAACGAACTAAGCCAACGAATGCCAGCAACCAATACGAAAAGCTCACTTTCTTATCCAGTTAAAAATAGCGTGGAATTGAGGCGATCGTTGATTCGGAATTTTTGCAAAGAGCAACTAGTAAGTTTGTAGAAATTTTTTATTTTCAGGTTTAATCGTGATAGCGCAGTGCTTCGAGATATCCACTGTTTTGTAGTTTGAGCCAAATGTTCAGGAATTCAAGTCTTTTCATTGGAAGAACCAGTTTTTTTTGATGGTGGATCATCTTTCTGGATGCTGAATGAACTACCGCTGTTGTTTTCGCCTCTTGCCTCGTCCGTTCTTCGCCTGATTTCCATTTTCCCCGATTTTTGAACTTATGAGCGGAGAATTTTTTTTGCCAAGTGCAGACCAACTTCTACATATTCCTCTTGAAATGACTCTTCAACATGTCGTACGGTTTATACCACATTAACAGCCTTACTGTCTTTCCCACCGTAGTCTATTTACTAATTCTACGCTGCATTAAAATTAGAGATTTCGGCCGTTCCATATTTCCTAGGCTTCAGACTGGCCGTTACTTCAGAAATTATGGTTCGACCTGCCAACAGCCGCAAAAATTTTTTACCAGTTTGACCCACTTCGGCCGCCCCACTTGGACCGTCCACTTCTGATTCGACCTTTGAATGGCCGTTACTTATCATTTTTGAATGAAGGAAATACTTTGAATGAAGAAAACACCATACAGATTGCTCAGCCAGCGCGAACACCTGCTAACAATGTGGTCGTCTGTTTCCTCTTCGCTCCCGCACTTGCGGCAGTGAGTGGAGGAGTTGGGATCCGTGGTCCGACTCCTTGTAGTAAGGGCCCATTCCTGTACCCCGAGGGCATTAAGAAATTAGGTGATTTATGAGAGTTCCACAAAGCATTACAGTATTTTATTGCAGTAAATTTGAGAAATACGGGTTATCGTAACCGTGTTACTTCAGGTGTGTACTAAATTCGGATTGGCTCTATAAAGTATATAATTGTAGTTTATATGCATTACAAAAC